TTACATGAAATTGAAAAGCTTTTATAGGAACAAAATAAATGGGATTAAATAACAAGGGGAAAGTGGTCAGTTGGGAGAAAATGTATATATGAAATATCTCTGATAAAGGTCTGCTATCCAAGGAACTCACAAGACCAACCATTCTTAAGTGGATAGGTAGTCAAAGAATTTGAAAAGCAGTTTTTAAAAGAATGGTAAGCCATGAGAAATTACATGAAAGATTGTTCCAAATCCCTGATATTAAAAGGGAAATGCAAATCAAAATAATGTTGAGGTTTTGCTTCACCTCTAGCAAATTGGCAAAAATGACAAAAGATGGAAATAGTCAGTGTTGGGGGGTTTGAAGACACATAGAATGATTACTATACTAATGTTGAGTCTATAAATTAGTCCAGACTTTCTCAAAAGCAATTTAAATTGTGCTGTAAAAGTGATTAAAAGTGACATAGAGATCCCACTGCTAGGCATGTACCCCAAGAAGGGTATATAGGAAGAAACGTCCCAAATACATCAAAATAGCCATTTTGCTGTCCAAAAATGTAGCACTTTTTTGTGGTAGCAAATAACTGGAAAGAAATCAAATGTTCATTGATTAGGGAGGGTCTGAAAAAAATCATGATACATGAATATAATGAAATACTACTGTACCAGAAAAATAATGAATATAAAAAATTCAGAGAAGCATAGGAAGACATATGAACTGATGCAGAGTAAAGTGAACAAAACCAGGAAAACAGTATATACAGGCACTACCACAAAGTAAATACAGTGAACAAACAAATGAAACTGAATGCTGCATAATTATACTAATCAAGCCTTGCCCTGGAGAAAAGATTTTTAAAATGTACCTACCTCCCTTCTTTGCAGAGGTGGGGGACTAAGGGTATGGAATATTGCTTATACTGTCAGACGTGGTTCTTATGTTAAAGGTTAGTTTTGTTAAACTACTTTTTTACCCCTCTTGTTATAAGTAATAGATTACTGGAATGGGGTAGTCAGAAATAAAGGTTGTGTTTTAAAAAAAAAGATGTTGATAAAACCAAGATTTTTAAAAACTCTTTAGTTTTCTTTAATCAAAATTATCCATTTTTATCTCCTAAGGATCACCTCTATCTCTTCTGTGATGTGACCTTTTATATTTATGTGTCCATTTGGAGCTTTGTGCATATGTAGGATAAAATGTTGGCCTCAACTTAGTTTCTGCCAAACTGCTTTCTCATTTTCCCAGCAGTTTTTGTCCGAGAGAGAACCCTTATCCCATTATTTGGTATCCTTCAGTATGAATGCTGGCTGCTATGTTTCATTCTGGATCTTCACCTAATCTGTTCCATTCATAATTTTTCCTATTTTTTAAAACTAGTACTAAATAGTCCTGATTATTACTTTATAGCATAGTTTGAGATATGGTAAGGCTGCATCCCCTCTACTTCTGCTTTTTTTTATTTCCCTTGAGATTTTTTTGTCCCCTCCAGATGATTTTTTTGTTTTTTGTCTAGTGCTGTAAAGTAACTCTGTGGTAGTTTGATGGGCATGGCACTAAATCTGTAAATTTTATATTTATATAAATATTATCATTTTTTATTACTTTGGCATAGCAGTTGGGTCCTTTTGAGTAACATAGCTCTCATTCTTTTATGTAAGATATACATCCAGCATAGCCCATTCATTCTGAAGCCATCCAGTCATCCTTCATCAATGTTATTTACTTTTTGCTAACCCTTAATCATTAGAAAATGAGTAGACTGTGCATAGGTTGCTGCTTTCACTTGCATTTCATTTGTTTACTTGATTAATAATTTCTGTACTCATAAAAGACTCTCAACATATCAAAAGGGTAGCTTAAAAAACCCGCTGAGTTAGGATAGGAGCAAAATTCAGCAAATAGTGGTGGATGTGTTTAAACTGATGAGATCATTAGCTATTAGTTAAATAAATAAACCATTCAATTTAGAATGGAAGCATTCAGTTGAGAACAGTCTACTCCTAAAAGGACAAAAGCTGGTTGATTTTTCAAGCCCAGTGAAATTGATATCAGGTAAAATTATTTTAGGTAACTGTGTACAGAAGATTATAAGGCTACTTGTTACTAACCAGCGTAACCATCCCAGTGGGGAAATTTCAGAACGTGGCTTGACAAACTTCACAGGCTTGGTCAAGATTAGTAATGACGATATTAACTCCCATTATTGGACTTTGCATGTTTGACACTTGGATAAGGGTCATTAGTCGTAGGGGCCAGGTGAAAACCAAAGCATCATTGGTTTCACCTTTGTCATGGATGACCCCCAAATTTGGATTCTGACTTGAGAAAGGGATAGAAGTAGATTGTGATAGAATTGGAAGTTTGATGTAGAAGTTTGTAGAGCAGCACACCAAGAGGAAATCCTTCTAGATTTCAGAGATGTTCATATGCAATAAACTTTCCATTCTGATTTGGTTCACAGGGGGCGGAGACTAAAAGCGGAATAAAAATGGCCACTCCCAGGGCGGCAGCACCTTCCGGTCAGAAAGGACCAGCCAACGCGACCAGAATTCCGGCGAAAACATCAGCCCCAAAGACACCTCCGAGTGCTGGTAGGAAAAAAAAACCTAGCGCTGAGCCACAGATGCACCCAGGGTCTGAGTGAATACGAGGCCAGCTTCCTGGGGCAATATGGTGGAGAGCAGCCAATCTCCTGCCCTGCAGAATGACCCTGGGAAGCATTCTCTGGGACAGAATGGTGGGCTAGACAGCCCTTGGGTGACTTTGTTGTTGTTGTTGTTGATGATATACTAACTTCAGAGGAGAGAGGTTCTCTTTGGGGCCAGAGCGGCAGGTGGTTGCCCATCACTGAGCAGTCAGGCTCAGGAAACCGTAATAGAGCAACAAGGCTTATAGACAGTTTGATTGGTAGAGTTTATATAACCTCTTACAGGTGAAAGCCAAAGCTCTCCTCAGAGTGGCAGTTTTTGTATGGGCACTCATTCATCCATGATTTCGTTCATTCAGCAACTACTTACTGAATAAAAGTTATTTTTGTAGCACTGTGCTAAGTTAAGACATGGAGCTTACAGTCTAACTGTGGGCCTGGTGATATACATGTAAATCTATTATAACCATGCAATTAAGAGAGAGTGTAACATATTAGATAGACCTGGGTTCAAATCCTGCCTCTGACAAATACCTGCAAATCAGTGAACCTATCCGTGTCCAAGGCAAGTCTATAAAAACACAAGTCACAGACCAGTTGTGCATCTGCATTAATTGCTAAAAGAAATTTCCACACCAGCGATCCAGTCCCAAAAATAAACAATCACCATAATGCCAAAACAAACAGAAGAGCATGAGATAGGTAAAAAATGAAAGGGCAGGGGCAGCTAGGTGGTGCAGTGGATAGAGCATCGGGTCTAGAGTCAAGAGATCCTGAGTTCAAATACGGCCTCAGACCAGACGCTTGACACTAGCTGTGTGACTCTGGGCAAGTCACTTAACCCCAACTGACTCACCAAAAAAAAAAAAAAAATGAAAGAGCAAAGGGAAAAGAGATCATTCTCAAACTTTAAAACAAAAGTGAGGGATTTGGAGATGGAGGCCAGCCAATCACTGAATTGTAGAATGTGCAGAAGTGGGGGAGTGAAGTATGAGAAGATTGGAGAGGGAGGAAGGGGCCAGTTGTGAAGGGCTTGAAAAATGCCGAACAGGGTTTCTGCATTCGATCCTGGAGATAATAACTGGAGGTTCTTAAGCTGGGAGTGGAAGTGACATGGGCAGATCTGAACCCGGCTCCTCTGATGCCAGCACCCCTCCTTTTCCTGCCTGCAGCATTATGTCTCCCTTTTAATTCGGGCAGGGTTTGTGCTCAGGGTCTGTGTGGTGAGACCACACACAGAACGTGGGTCCTCATCAGACTGAGCCGGATGGATTGTGCCTGCGGTGTGGTTTGGAGGAGGGCCTCTTCGCCAAGGCTTTCTGCCCCCTCTGCTGGGCAGAACTCTGGCCAAAAGGGCACCATTCTGAGCGTGGGGCAGAGATGCCCACTCAGCCAGGACTCCTCAGTTAGCATCCTCTTCCTTGGCTCCTGCAATCAGAGACTCATCACACTGGTGGGCTAGACGGCACGGGTGTCCTGATTTTATGAAAACGCAGCATAGGCGAAAGTCCAAACTTTAAAACAAAAACAACAGTTTGAAAAAATTAGGTGCCAGTTTTCACTTTACAAACGAATTCACCACCTGGGGCCCTTTAAATGGCTGTTCCATTTCTGCCCTCCCCTCGTGCGTGCTTCGCACACACACGCACACACACACAGTGTAGCTCTGGGTGTTCTTAGTTTGTAGATTATTAACTAATTGGTAGAGAACTGGGACTGGAGGAGTAGTGGGAAACTGAAGGATGACAAAACTGAGTATGAAGGGTGTCTAAAACAACTGTGCGTGCCAGTGGGATCATAGTTGTAATTAACCAAAGGTCAGCGATCCCTGACTCTTCATGAATACAACTGTTGTATGAAGGAAGGCAGACTTTGAGATGCCACGGGCTCAGGTGACAGTGGCTCATCCTTGCACAGAGAGCAATGAGTCGTCCTTTCTTAGGCTGACCCCTGTCCTTTCTGCTTTCCCTCTCATCAGAGAGCTGGACGACAATTTCCAAGGCATGGCCCAGCCCGGAAGACAGGCTTGGATGAATGTATTAAATAATCCCTTCATCCCATGGCCAAGCACTTGCTGTACTGTGCCGGACTGTCTCCTCACCCTCTGTTCTAGCTGTTGAGACAGCTCTCTGGCCAAGGGCCATCCTTCCTTAGACTTTAAAAAACTACCTCATAATTAGTGAATTGTGGAGATTCCCTGGGAGTGGGGGGAAGGAAGGGTTGGCATGGAGTCTGTTCCAAAGGAATCTGGAAATCAGGTTGGCAGTAGCCAAGTACTTGGCAGGCCCCTACAAAGAAGCAGCTGGTAGTGCAGTGGATAGAGCACTGGGCCTGGAGTCAGGAAGACCTGAGTTCAAGTTCAGCCTCAGGCTTTGTGACCCTGCGCAAGACACTTAACCTCTGTCTGCTTCAGTTTCCTCAACTAGAGCGGGGAGGGGGAGATAATATTAGCATGTATCTCCTAGGATTACTGTGAGGATCAAATGAGATAATATATATAAAGCACTTAGCACAGTGCCTGGCACAGTAAGTGCTTAATAAATGCTCCTTCCCCATCCCCTTTTTTCCCTTTCCTTCTCTTTCAGTTAGGCCTCAAGTAAGGTTCTGCAAAAGAAAATTGGGGGCGGTGGGGGGGGTCGGGGAAGAAAGGCAAAGGAAACGAAGAGGAAGGAAAGTGTTCATCCTATGACTTCGCTATTTACAAGTGTGTGGAAGTGGAGGGAAACCAGCATTCATTAAGCACCTACTATATGCTGGCCACTGTGCTAAGCACTTTACAGATATTATTTCATTTCCTGGATGGAGAACATTCCAGGCTACAGAGGAAGGGAAAGCAGTTACTCTCACTCTTTTCTAAACTCTGTTACCAAACTGCTTGGACACCTGGGTGGTGCAGAGGATAGAGCACAGGGCCTGGAGTCAGAAAGACCTGAATTCAAATCCAGCTTTAGACACTTACTTGCTGTGTGACCCTGGGCAAGTCACTTAACCCTGTTTGCCTCAGTTTCCTCATCTGTAAAATGAGCAGAGAAGGAAGTGGCAAACTATTCCAGTATCTCTGCCAAGAAAACCCCAAACGGGGTCACGAAGAGTCAGACATGACTGAAATGACCAAACACCAACAACAAACTGTTTCTAAGAAAGCCCAAAAGAGAGAATGATTAATTTTCTAAAAAGGCTTGCTAGCCTGGTTCTAAGAATTAAAATGGAGCCAGAGAATCATATCATTTATAGTTGGCAGGCATTTTAGACACCATCTAGTCCACTGCCCTCATTTTAGAGATGTTGAAACCAAGGCCCAGGGATGTGAAGTGATTTCTCCATGGTCACACAGCCAGTCAATGGTAGAACTAGGACTAAAACCCAGGTCTCCTGACTCCTAGGCCCAGGGTTTTCCCTGGCATACCACAGGGTAAAACGAAAATTATCATCAAAGCATTAATCCATAACTAACACAAAATAGACGTAAATTAAATTTCGTAGTATGTAGAGCTGGGGCTTATAGGGCAGCTAGGTGGCGCCATAGTGCACAGAGTGCTGGACCTGGAGTCAGGAAGACTCATCTTCCTGAGTTCAAATCTGGCCTCGGACATTTACTGGCAATGTGGCCCTGGGCAAGTCACTTAACCCTAACCCTGTTTGCCTCAGTTTCCTCATCCGTAAAATGAGCTGCAGAAGGAAATGGCAAACCACTCTAGGATCTTTGCCAAGAAAACCCTAAAAGGGGTAACGAAGAGTCAGGCACAACTGAAAAACAATTAAAAAAAGAAAAAAAAGCAGATCTTGGGAACCATCTACTCCAGCCTCCTCAGTTTTCAGATAAGAAAACCCAAGGCCCAGAGTGGTGAGGGGATTTGCCCCAGATCTCACAGGTAATAAATAGCCGACGAGGGATTTGAATCCAGGCAGTCCTATCTCCAAACCCAGTGTTCTTTTCCTCTATGCTATGATGCCTCACCTTGTTTCAAATATGCTTATCTTAAATAATAAATAAATACCATAAGGTAGACTCATTTCTGCTTGACCCAGCCCATGTCTTCTTATAACCAGGCTCTGCTGATTTCAGGCCCTGCTGATAGGGACAGTAGCTAGGTTGGGATTGTAGCTCAGGTGAGTAGAAGTGCACTCATATGACTTCCTCAGACAAAAAGAAACACTTGCAAATGCACATTAGATTTGCTGGCATTTACTACATCTTGTACGGCTTAACTGTCCCAAGCATGTGAGGGAACCATCCCAGGCGGTACATTGGAGAGAGTTGTTGGGTGCTATTAATATCAAAAGGTTGTAAGTCAACCAACGCTCTTCTTTCTCTCCTTCTCAGGTGAATCTACAAAATCTGGAGACCGAAGCGGCTACAGCAGCCCAGGTTCCCCAGGGACTCCTGGCAGCCGGTCCCGTACACCCTCACTGCCCACACCCCCCACCAGGGAGCCGAAAAAGGTGGCGGTGGTCCGCACGCCACCCAAGTCGCCATCTTCAGCCAAGAGTCGCCTTCAGACTTCTACAGTCCCCATGCCAGACTTGAAAAATGTCAGGTCTAAGATTGGGTCCACTGAAAACTTAAAACATCAGCCAGGAGGTGGAAAGGTAAGGACCACAGTGCATTTCTCTTGGGTAGTGTTCCAGGCCCCATTGGACGATGGACCTTCAGAGTTATCAATAATACTCTTTTAACAAGGAGAAGTGATGGGCACAGGACTTTCTCAGTCAGCCATAGGCCTGGCAGCTTCAAAGTTGTCTACTAGGTTCCAGGACCGTTCCCGAGACCTTCTTCTGTGATCACTTGAACTACTGTTATAGTTATAACTATTTCTGTGATGCGCAGCCAGGAAAGTGGGTTGAGTTATGTTATCGTGAAATTTCCTGACACCCTCTAGGAAGAGCTAGAGGTAATACTGGTAAGTTGAATGCTGTTGTCCACAGAGAATAATGGCATTGTCCTTAGAGGGCCCACTGAGACTCCCGCTAGTATTATCATTTTGATGTTATAAGAGAAACCAGTAATTTATACTTGGGTCCCTCTAAGTGGAGAGGTTCATAGTGTGTGGTGGTCCTCAGCTTGCCTGGGAGCTGGTCTCCTGTTCATAATGTTCCTGGCATGAATTAATAATTGACCTAACAGTAGTTGTGTTCAAACCCAGACATTACCTCATTGTTGTATCATCTAAAATAGCACTGTTCATCTTCTGTGTTTTGGTGAGTTCTGGAGTGGTGAGTTTTTTGTGCAGAGGTCAGCAGGATTAAGTTGATGCGTGATCTGGAACCCCAGCCCTGATGCTTACTTAGCTGTGTAACCACCATGGTCAAGTGTCCGTGCCTCTCTGACCCCTGGTTTCCTCTTCTGTTAAAGGGGATCACACTTGCCTACCTCACAGGGTTGTTGTGAGGCAAAAGCTTTAGGGTACTAGAGAATGTGAGTCATTTTTATTATAATTCCACTGTTGGATTCTAGGCCAAAGAGGGAAAAGAGAAGGTGGAAGGTACAACTGGCGGATCCAGGTTGGGCATTCCAGGGTGGTTTTGCCTGCCTGCATGGGGTAGAAACATCTCTGTCAGAGGAGAGCTGGAATACTCCTTTCAGACCAGGGAATTAGGATGACATCTGCCCTAGCCTGGGCTCTATCACACGGGTTTGGACTGGACCTAGTTACCAGCCAGCCAACTTCTAGACCAGTAGAATGAGTAAGACATTTAGACAAACCATGAGCCCACAGTGACTTATGCTCAGGAGGCACTGAATTCTGGTCTTCATCACCTAGACCTGTGTACCCAATCCGATTTCCCAAAGGGGCTTTCTTCATCTTGCTCAGAGATGTTTGTGTTAGCCCCACATCACACAGTTGATCTCTGATCAGAAAGAATTCCTGATCATGTCAGTGTTTTCTTTGTGACCTTCTTTTATCCCCTGCATAGTGACACAGGCCTTCTAATTCTTGGTCAAGAAGATTGTCTAACAGAACAAGATGGCCTGACAGCAGGCAGCCCCTGAGGGAGGTCCGAGGGAGCAGGCCTCTCAGTATCATTCATCTTAGCCTTTTGGGCTCCAGGAGGACTTCTTGCCTTTCCCGGAGCTCTTTTAAAAGGTTGGAGATCTTTGGTTGTATTGAGAGTTATTCCTGTACTGTTGGGTCATTGCCCCTCTAGTGACAAGGATTGAGATGTTCAGGTTTTTTTATCTGGAGGCCTGTATTTGACTTTCTCCCAGCCTCTGAAAAATTGGGTGAATTTTGTGATCTCACAGAGAAGGGCGATGGGATTCTGACCCAGGGAGGCCTCTGGGTAGAACAGTGGATTGAATGCTGGACTAGGAGCCAGGAAGATCTCAATTTGAATCCTGTCCCAGACACTTCCTACCTCTGTGACCCCAAGTTAAGTCCTTTAACCTTTCTTTCAGCCTCAGTTTCCCCAGTTGTAAAATGAGGATAATAATAGCACCTACCTCACAGGGTTGTTGTGAGGATCAAATGAGATAATACATGTAAAGTGTATTTCTGAAGCTCCCTCAGTGTTGTCTGTGGGCATTCCCTCCTCAGTCTCCTCTTGGACCTCTGCTCCTATGTCCCTACCAAGGCTTCACCACTTTTATTGATGTGATTAAGCAAAATCAAAGCCTCTCCTATTACCCCACACCTCCCGTTTAAAAAAAAAAGTACCTCTCCATTCCTTTTTCTTTCCTATTAAAAATATTACTGTACCTACTGATGATGGTGATGGTGATGGTGATGATGATGATGATGGTGTTGGTGGTGCTGGTGATGGTGATGATGATAATGATGATGGTGATGGTGATGGTAATGATGATGATGGTGATGGTGATGGTGTTGGTGGTGATGGTGATGGTAATGGTGATGATGGTGATGATGGTGATGGTGATAAGCAGAAGTAGGTGATGGAGGAGAAGGAGAAGGATGAGGAAATAACAACTTGATTCTCAGGGAAATAGGAAAGGTCTGAATCTCTGGGGTTTGTGCATGGGGGGACCTAGGCTATACACGAATGCATACTTACCTCCTTGCCACATTGCAAAACTGTCTCCCCTAAACACCTTTGGAGCATGGACCTGTTGTCATATCTTGCCAGGCAGAAACCAGAGAATCACATGGGGATATAACTGAAAAAAAAAAGTGTTCAGGTTCCTCCTCAATTATCCCTTTTGCCCAAAATTCCCTAGCCTTAATTAAAATGAAAAGGTACCATTCTTTATTACAGTGCTTTCCCTGTCTCTGTTTTGGCTTTTGGATTTTTTTTATTGAAAACAAATGCTCTACACCGGATTCTTTCTGTCCTTGTCCAGTCTCTGGCCCTTATTGAAACATCAGGCAAAAACAAGCGACCCAGTTCATGGTCAAGACCAGACACAACGAGTTTTACTGCCAAAGAACCCTCCAGCAGCTCAGTGCAGACTCCTATGGGGTGGAGTGTTTGGTCCTTATCACTCTGAAAGCTGACTCTTTAAAATGCAAAGCATGAAAATCCAGCTCAGAACTCCTGGGAGTCTTAATTCTTTGAGTACTGTCCAGGTACCCAGGCTGCACCCACCCCCCTTGAATACACACCTGCCTTCCCTTCTGGATGGTGTTGACAGGAGCTTTTGTTTCTGGTCAGCCCACAGAATTTTTCCTCACAGACCTTGGGTATCTTAGAGGCTCACTTAGAAAATGTGGCCCACATTAACCTTATTCTCTCACCCGCCGTCAGCTAAGAGCAGCTGCATGGCCTCTGAAGCCACAAAAAGAAACAAACCTTGCATTGGCCACCCTCGTGGAAGGAATAGGGCCAAGTTCTCCCTCTGAGAGCTTTCCTCTGCAGTGCCAGTTGCCAGCCTGTGGATGGCAGGCTCGGGCTCAGTGCTGACAGAGCGACAGAAAATCCTGAAATGAAAGTAAGAAAAGAGTAAGGAATGATGCCATCCCATGATGGCATCTGAATTCTCTGGACCTGGTTGCACCTGGGAGATGAAGCGTGTTGTGTGTGGTTACTGCCTGAAGAGTTAAAAAGAGAGAGAGAAAGCCATGGTTTCTGAACTGATAGTTGAAGAAAGACTGATAGTATTTCTCTTCCATTAGTTAGTCCAAAACCTTCAGATTAGGATGATTTTAAATGCTTTCTTAATATTTCTTACAGGGGATGGAGGGTTTAATCTACTTTCATAATATGAACATCCTGAAGGTAGAACTAGGATTCCAACTCCTTTTCCCAAAGGAACAAGAAATGAGTGGTCCCCAGGATTCCTTTAGAATTGGAAGGAGACGGCTCTAAGACAAATGATAGGAAATATAAGATGGGTAACATGTATGCTCTGACTACCTCTCCCAGAGGCAGGAAGGCTTCATCTCCCCCCTCAAGGTTCTAGGGGGTACTCTAAGGGGTTAGGCTGGCTTCTCTATTGCCGCTGGCTTGAGTCCCCACTGACTATTCCCCCCATTGTTAGGGGCCGATAGCTAGAACCCCAGTTCCATTTAACCACTTAACCATCTGACCCTAGTTCCATTTAACCACTTAACCATCTGATAGCTTTTTCATAGAGTTATTCACTTCAAAGATATAGCAAGAACATTTGTATAAGCATCACCCTTAATACCTCTGGGGCATACTTTCCCCTAAGCCACCTTGGTCTCTGAGGACAGTTGGCTCAAAATTTAGTTCTGTCTCTGTGTTGAATTGGTCCAGTCAGGTTCATATCCAAGGTGGCAGATGAGTCAGCTTTCCCTAGCATAAGTCCAAAACATTACTCCTTGTTCCTTGGGGATCAGCACTGCACTGGCTGAAAAAAACTGGCCTGGGACATCAACATGCCCTCAAACCCTTAATGTCATGAAGGCTTCTGTCCTCCACTTGCAACAGAAAAGGACACATGAGGGGGCAGCTAGATGGTGCAGTGGATAGAGCACCAGCACTGAAGTCCAGAGGACCTGAGTTCAAATCCGGGCTCAGACCAAACACTTGACACTTACTAGCTGTGTGACCCTGAGCAAGTCACTTAACCCCAATTGCCTAAAAAAAAAACCAAACAAACCAACAGAGAAGGACACATGAAAAAGCAAAGGAATGAGGCCATGTGGCCTCAGAGAGGGAGGAGTCCCAAAGGTCTTTCTCCCTTTAGACCATGCCATCTCACTGGAGGAAGTAGTCAGAAGGGACAGGCCTTTCTGAAAGCCTTCCCAGCTAGAGACACTCCTCTCTGCCATGTCGTTAGCTCAATGGAAGCAGTTACAGGCTTCAGAGTTCCTCCTCTTACCCAGAAGCAAGCTCTGTAGTGTAGCATCCTTCACGTGAAGGGGCCAAAAAAGCTGATGGGGTCTGCCCATGTGCCAGGCCCCTCCCCCGTGACAGCTTGCCCAGGCCAAACCAATTCAGATACCAAAATGGTTTAGCAGAATATACAGATGACAGATCTCTAGAAGTTAGGGATGGGGTGATGTCAAAAGAGAGGGCTGGATTTAAAGTCAGAAGACCTGGGCCTCAAGCTTGCCATTTATTGCTTAGGTGACCTTGGCAGTCATTTAATGTTTCTGGGTTTCAATTTTCTCGTTTGAAAAATGACTAGCATTTGTAAGAAGGAGAAATACTTCTGGAGGCAGCTAGAG